GGGTCAAATCAATAAAAAAAAAACCAATTAAGTTCAAATAATACTCAAACTTAGCAACGGGAAGTAGTTCTATCATCATATCAATAGGATTATCTTTGATATCATTCTTGCTCGCTATAATATCATCACGAGCAATCAAATCAAGCACAAAATAATATTTCTCATGAATTTATATTAATTCCCTCATGGAACATCTGATTTTTAGTCAGAAAAATAGTACTCTGAATATCACAATATACTGTATAAATCTGCAAGTTTTTATTAATTTCACCAATCAACCCTCTCAATCACATAGCGTCCTTACATACCTCTGTAATGGCCATGTACGCCCTCCGTTGTAGACAAATCTATTGCATTTTGCAAAGTAAATTTACATATAATAGCACAGCTTCCAAGGATAAACACTATAAGAAATCTCCTCTTATCACGATCTCTTGTATAATTTGAATCCATATACCTAATTACTCACTCTGTATTTCTACCAAAATGCAAGTACTAGAAAAGCCCTTCAAATATCTGAATATCTATTGCACTGTTTTTCAATGTTCTTTAACAGGATTTGCCATGTATCTACTAACTGTACTACCTGCATGTGTCAAATTTGGTCTTGTAAAAATCATAGTATATATAAGCGAATCAACTGCATCAAAATAAGGAACTCGAGACATATAATCAATGTCTTCATCTGATTGATGACACAATTCAGATGATAATTTGAAGTGAGCGGTCAAGGTAGTACTGACTACCTTAGCATTCAGCGTAAAACTTCGAAACACGTTCTCAATGTACCCATTATGACTCAAGTAAAATATGCTAACCGTTATATTTCTCAAAATTTCATTTCAATAATTTTTTTTGTTGCACCCTAATCTTTCATATTAAACTTCTTACTAAGTTGAGATTTCACATTTCTAAACTCAACTTTATCTATGGCTACTATGAGCATATCATCAAAATATAATAACAAATATATGATCGATCCACTAACTTCTTTTCTGAAATACACAAAACTATCATAATTAATTCTAATGAAACTATGAGTAGTCATGGATAAATCGAATCTTTTATATCATTGCCTTAGTGGCTGCTTTAGTCCATAAAACGATTTCTTCAACAAGTACACATAGTATTAATTTCCAGAAACTATGAAATTATTTGGTTTTTGCATGTAAATTTTATCCTTAAGTTCTCCATGAAGGAATGCTGTCTTGATATCCATATGTCCAAACTTCAAATCATTCTTTGTCATTATCTCAAATAAAACCCAAATTGAACTATATTTTATAACTAGTGAGAACACATATGTGAAGTTAACGCTTGAAATCCGAGTGTAGCCCTTTGCTATCAATATGGACTTATACCAAGAGGTTACTTGAGCCCCTTTTTTTCCCCAAAAAAAAATTGTATTTTGAAAAATAGTGTTATACTGGAAAACATATGGTTAAAAAATAAGGAAAAATTTTGAATTTGCACGTAATTTTTTTTATTAAAAAAATTATGGTTCAAATAAGATCAAATCACTATTAAAAAATGTATTTTGATTGAAAAATGGGGCTCAAACAAAGGCATAGTATTTTTAATCTCCGATATCCCTTCCTTCTTTTTGAATACCCACTTGCAGTGACTACCCCTTTATCCTTAGATAATTTTACCAAGTCCCAAGTACTGTTTTTATTCAATGATTCCATCTCATCTTGCATAGCAATCAACCATCTACTAGAATCACTGCAACTGACCATCTCTGAATATGTAGCAGACTCTTCGGTGGAATTAATAGATTCAATCACACTCAATGTATAAGCTACCATGTCTACTTCTCTATACTTATGTGGATGTCTAATTTGTCTGTGAGGTCCATCCTTAGTAATGAAATATTATGATGTTGTTGATGGTGTGGGCAAATTATTAGTGTCTATCAATTCTGGACTAGATTGATCGGTAGTAGATAGTTTTGAAACATTTGATTGTTTTCCTGGACCAATTTTCAACTCCATCCGAGCTGAATGATTTCGTTACTCGGTTTTATCAAAATCCCTACGAGGTGAACCATGAAATATAACAAGTTTATCAAATACTATATCTATACTAATTATCTCATTTCTTGTCTTAGTACACCACAATTTATACTCTTCACAACTGATTTATACCCTAGAAAGAAACACTTTCTAGATCTAGGCTCTAACTTTCCATAGTCCAAATGAGCGTAAGCAAGACGCCCAAGTGTTTTTAAATTGGAATAACAAGAAGCTTTACTAGACCATACCTCTTCTGATATCTTTTTCTTAATGGTTGCTGAGTGTGAACGATTAATCGGAAAATAAGCTTTAGTAACAGCTTTAGCCCAAAAAATCTTAGGAATTCAAGAATTTAATAGCATACAACAAACTTTTTTCAACAAATTTATATTCATCCATCCTGCTACACCATACCGTTGAGGAGTTTCGGGCACTGTCAAGTATCTCAAGATGCCTTTAGCCCTACAAAAGTTATTGAATTCATCCGAATAAAACTCCAAACCATTGTCCATGCACAGATGTTTCACCTGCTTCCATCAATGTTTTACACTCCTTGAAAGTCATAAACACATCACTATTTTGTTTTAAGAGAAATACCTAAACTTTCCTGGATAATCATCAATCACTATCAATAAGTAATAAACATATCATTTTGAAGGTACCCTGTTCTGTCCCCAAAGATCCAAATGGATATATTCAAGTGTTCCATTTGTGTCATGTTTTCCTTTAGTAAATTTGACTCTTTCAGTTTCTCAAAGACACAATACTACAAAATTTCATCTTACTAGTCTTCTGCCCATCAAGAAGCCTCATTCTACTCAATTTTATCATCTTTGTCTCATTTATATGCCCAAATTGCACGTGTCAAAGTTTAGTAACTTCCTCATAAGTCAATGAAGAAGTAGAAATTGCTACATCACCTGTAAAATGTACAACTATGTGAAGTTTTTTTGTCCATTCATGACAATAAGAGCGTCCCAACTTACCTTCAAAACTCCATCTTCACCAATGTATTTATGACCTTTTAAGTCAAGTATACTCAAAGAGATGAGATTTCACTTTAGTTCTAGAACATGCCTTACATCTATAAGTATTCTAATAGTTCTATCCAACATTTTGATTCTGACTGTACCAATTCCGACAATTTTGCAAGGCACGTTGTTTTTCATAATCATTGCACCTCTCGAAACTTTTTCATGTCTTTGTTAGAATATATGAAAAGTATGTGCGAGTTAAGAACCCATTCCTCACAAGGTTTGGAACCATGTCAGAAATTACAAGAAGATATCTTTCACTTTGCCCATCTTCCACAACATCAGTCTCCGCTGTGTTATCAAGTTGCTTTCATTTTTCAATAGCACCAGTAGCTTTATTTTTGTTTTTCATAAATAGCAATCAGCTCTGATATATTACTTCCTCTTATAGTAATAACATATTTTTCTCTGCACATCTGGATTTCGATCTACCCATAATATTCTTACAAAGATTTCTAGCTTGAATTTTCACACGAACAACTAGGCCTTCAGTCTGAATCCCAGATCCTCTAGCATGATGCCTCATTTTTTTCTTAGATAGTAGAGCATCATAGACCTCTTCTACAATGATAGTATCCCAAATATAGAGATTATTATCTTTAAAAGTCACATATAAAGACGATAGTAAACACATGTTCTCTCATTATACTTAACCTCCAATGTCTCCAAATCATTTATGATTTCTTTGAACATAGTTAAGCAATCATCCAATGACACACATTCGGACATACGGTGAAAATACAAGCGTTGTTTCAAGTGTAACTTGCTGGTCAAACTCTTTGTCATATAAAGTTGCTCCAACTTACTGGATGTATGAACCCATATAGGATGTAGGGGCATTTTTCCACAATGCATTGATATTTTTTTTCTTTAGAACATCCTGAAAAATATGATTTGATAGATGTAGATGAATTTGAAATTGGGATTTTTCGATCCTTACTCTGTTTTTATCCTGGTCCAAGTTGAAGGTATCTTATCAAAGCCAGGTAATGCTTTCTCCTAATCCTTCCGCTTGATAACTATTCGTATCTTCACTTGCTATAAAGTAAATTTAGTATTTCGATCCAATAACGGAATATCATGTGTTCAACGTTGCCATGCAGAATAATTAACCTTACTTTGATACTACTTGTTATGGATTGATCTCAAGATAATGACAACAATAAAATAGAAAAAAAAAACCACATGTAGAGGAGGAGAGATCCACTATAATCAATAGTAAATGTGTTTACAACAAGATCTCAGTACTCTCAATTAAAATTGAAAGCTCTCAAAATATTGTATGAATGTTATAGGAACAATAAAAGCCGTGACTTATATATATATATATATATATATAAAACCTTAAAAATCAAGTTGTAGTAAATAGAAGTTAAAAAACGCGTCAAAATGCGAAACAAGTCAGGATCAGATAACACTGTCGCTTGAGCGAAAGGGGAGCGATGCCAGGCAGGCGATAGACAAGCGAAAAGTCTCTGTAAATAATATGCAAGCGCCGCTCGAGCAGCCAACTAGCGGTAGATTAGCAAAAGTATGACGACTTTTTTTCACGATTCATAATTTTGATCTTCTTAAGACTACTTCATATAAAACTCCAATAATCACTATAATTTAGGTCAAACTACAACATTTTCAATATAAAGAATTGGATTGGATCGAATCTGAGCCGATTGGTTTGATTTCGATTCAGTTTTATAGTCAGATACGAAATCAATAGTTCTATTTTGAAAATTTCAATTGATACTTGGCTCGATTCGATTCCCTTCAAAATTGGATCAAATCGAACCGCATCTTTCCCTAATTTTCGTATCGTCATTGCTTTGTACGTTATTTTTAACGTTAAGAAATTGATGACACGATGAACGAGCCACCAAATTATGACTTTTGATAAGGTCGTCAAATTCTTTAACTTTTAAAACATCAATTTGACAAATGAGAACATATTGGAGTCGCAAAGTTCATAATAATTGAGAAACATCGATTTCCATCAAAATGGAAAATTTAAGCAGCGACTTTCCTTGAGAAAGTAAATCGTGTATGTTATTAGCGATTCTGGTAATCTTCCAATCTATCCATATAGCAAAAAGTTCTAGACATTAACCCCAAACAAAATCCACAAAGGAATCTCTTCCTTCCCTTTTCTCTGAGCAATCAATTTCCTTTGTTTGTTGCATAATATGCGTAAAAATGCTTCTCAGAAGTTTTTCTAAACGCTGCTTTTGCACTGCTATTAATCCACGGCCATGGCTTTTTGTGGGCTTGGGAAATCCAGGAGATAAATATAAGGGCACGAGGCACAACGTGGGCTTTGAATTGATTGATGCATTTGCTGCGTCGCAAGGGATCCCCATGGAATCGGTCTTCTTCAAGGCCACTTTTGGAAAAGGTCCATTGAACTAATTACAATTACACCGGCGTGTGGGTGTTTTTTGCTTATTTATAGCAGAAGTTTGAGCTTTTTTTTGGGAAATATCTGAAGTGATGAATATTAATGTTTTGATGCATTTCTTCAGGTCTTGTTAATGGGGTTCCAGTTTTCTTGGCAAAGCCTCAGACTTACATGAATTTGAGTGGTGAATCTGTAAGCAATTAGTCAATATTTATTATTATTATTGTTATTTTATTTTTGTTTTTGTTTTTGTTTTTTGTTTTTGCTTTTTTAAGAATGTCTGTATTTGTGGGTAGCAAAGCTTGCATTTTTACTGTGAAAATTTGGTTCGTGCTTTGCGAGCTTACTGGTGCTATACTTGATTACGAAAAAAATTGTGTTTATATATGGGAATTAATATTTTTTTACGAGAGTAAATATGTAAGTTTCAAAGGTTTAGGGCGACTCCAACCCATACACCATTCCACCATTTTCCACCAAATTTCACCAATTTTCACCAAAAACACCACTCCAACCCAACACCAAATCTTGCATCATTTTCCACCAAATGTGATAAAAGACCATTTTGCCCCTTTTTTTTCCATGTATGACCAAGTTAATATGAAGGGCATTTGTGTCATTTTACATCATGCATAAATTTTAATTCATAATTAAATAGTTAATTAATACTAGTAATAATAATTAATTTATTATTATTATTATTATTATTATTATTATTATTGATGATCATCACTGAACGATATATAAAGATGCTTACATTGCACTTTGAAATGCATTAATTGAACATTTGTGGGATGAATATATGAATTCTGATAACTAAATTACGATACTGGGTCGATTTCGTCGTACCATAATTTCGAGATTTGAAATGTACTACGTTGTTTTCAATAACATGGTTACATATTTTCTTAGTTGTGGTATTTTTATTAATTGTACTACATTTTAAAAATATATTAAATAATTTCATATTTTCGTAAACGAAACATAATTATGTACGTAGTAATTTATGTAGTAGTAAATCGAATAAATAAATAACTTTTTAGCTAAATAAATTGTTAAAAATAAAAGAAATGAAGAAAATGAATAAACATTGTTCATTTAGTGCAACTTTTGGCGTAATGGGTTGGAGTTGATTTTTAGTTTGGTGCAAGATTTTATGCAAAATGGTGCAGATTTTGGTGTAGGGTTGGAGATGGTCTTAATAACTGCTAAAATAATAATTGATTGTTACTTCTCTTTTGGTCCGAGTGTTATTTAATATGGATGATTAGACCTTCAAAGGAAATAACAAGCTGAAGGACTGACGTCAATTACACTGATTTGCATACACCGTGTGCTTTTGATGTTTCGACTTTTGAGTGATAAATTAATATGACGACGCTATATTTGGACAAAAGGCTTTACTTCTGAAATGGTATAATTGACTGTAGAGACAGATGTATGGTTATGTTTTGAACTATTTTGATGACGCTCAAGTGGATTTGTTCAAAACTCTGTCATCGTTTCAGCATATTTGTTTAGGGTTATTTTTATTTATATCCTGCCAAAAGTTATGATAACCATAGTTGCAAGGCCAAGGGATGATTGTTGTGTCGAGTTAGTAGGACTCCTAAAATATTTCTATTCGTATACTCAAACTATTGAAATGTATAAAATGAATTCATATCAGGAGTTGTGACAAAGCTTTTGGTTAACTGCCTGCAAATATCCTCCTTTATTTGATATTGAGCTTGCAATTTACTATGAAATAAATTAGGTGGAGTTAACTGGCATGTTGCGAGGCAATCAAACTTGGGACTCCTCACTCCAAAAGCAAGAATCGTACCACTAGTGCAGATTCTTTGTTTGTTGTTTGAATATATTTCAACTTTTCTGTGAGAATCCATGCAGACATTCCTTTTTCTTATTCTCTGGTTTGTCGATAGAATGTTTTTCACGTGCCTTTCAAGGATCTAACTCGTATTTCAATATTACAATATTATTGACAATGAAACTAGGGATGGGCGCCGATACAGGTTTCTTTGAGAATCGGACCAATCCTATTGGGAATTGTAAAAAACGATCTGTGGAGCAAAAAAGAAACTGGTCCACAACATAATTGGTTTAGTCTGGTTCTTTTATGCTTTAAAAATAATCTCTGAAGTGTAAATTGTGTGTAAATTTTTCTGTTTAATAGGTGAGTAAATTTTTAATTATTCTAAATCCATATTAAAGTCATATAAATCATGATTTAATTATATGATTATTATAAAAATTGGAGAACTGAACAATCTTAATTGGAAACGAACCAGCTATTTCGGTCCAGTTCAGGTGGTTCCAAAAAAAAAAAAAAAGGTCATCCCCTAAATGAAATCTGAATTTAAATGAAAAGGGGTTCTCTGTGTGTGTGACAGAGAGAGAGAGAGTTGCATTAACTTTTGTTTTCTCTGCAGGGTGGTCCACTTGCAGCTTATTATAAGCTTCCTCTCAATCGAGTGCTGGTGGTACTGTCTTGAAGACAACTTGAAAGAGCTTATCCTTTGTTTAGGTTGTTTAAGTTCATTCTGAAATAGTGCTGATCCTTAATGCTTTTCTGTTGTAGTTCCACGATGACATGGATTTACCCTGTGGTGTACTTCGTCTCCACCCCAAGGGTAATCATGGGCGTCACAATGGGTAAAAATATAGCAACTTTGTCTCTTTAAATTACTCGACAATTATTGTCTTTCCCATTGATATGGAAGGTCATGACAAGTGAAGATGTTTTATGCATACTTGTATAGGTATTTGCTCTTACCATCCGCTGGTCTAGTCTTTATGATGTAATTATGTAACCTAGCATTGATTCATATACTATCAATAATTTTGTAATTAGCAGTCTATTAACGAATCTCCACTCTTCCAACAAATACGCAGAGCACGCTTCTTATTCTTCCTGGTTAACCTTTCGCTATCTGAAGTTGGGGAAGAACAGACACTAAGCATACAAACAGTCTACTATATACTTGCCACTTGCTTTCATTTTTGTGTTTTTATTTGCCATTTTGGTTGATGAATGATCCTGCTTTTGTGCTTATTTTAGACACAATTAGGTTTTGATTTTTGTAGGTCTTGCATGTAATTTGTGTAGTCTAAATTCGTTTTTACTGCTTCATAGACTTTGAGCAAGTGTTCATTATCACTGATTGCAAGTGGCTTGTATCGACAATTTTGTTAAAATTGCTGCAACGTTGTTTCGAGTATTGAAAATTCTAATGCTGATATGTCAACATTCCTTTTTTTGACATTGATGTGGTGTTAATTTAAAATTCTATGTTATTTCTATCTGAAACTTTAAAGTACAATGATCCACCAGCCACTTGACGTGTGTAACTATCTAACACCAATATGCTATCCTTGTACATAAAGATTGAACATTTAACTCTTGGATGGATTTTGCTTTCTCCAGAATAGACTCTAAAATTTATCCTGCTCTCCCTTTTTTTTCTGAATTTGCTAGGTTGAAGAGTGTGATCTATCATTTTCGTGGGAATAGAGAGTTTCCTCGGTTGAGAATTGGTTAGTTTGAATCCTCAAGTTCCAAATTTGTAGTTGATCCTCTTGGATTCTGTTATAAATGACCAAATCAAATAAAATTCATTTATCAGGGATAGGGAAGCCTCCTGGTCAAATGGATCCAAAGGCATTCTTGCTTCAAAAGTTCAATGCAACAGCTCGAGAACGGGTATGTCTATTCCTACAGCTCTTGTTTTTAAATGTCAAAATACTTTGACGGGAGCCCCTTCCTTCTCTTGTGACTTCTCCAGGTTGTGATTTAATAGGCAGAACCCCTGACAAATCTTTGGCATTGTATCTTGTTTTAAATCACGATACATTGAATTTGTTTTCATTGTGGTCTCTGGCCTCGCTTGTTCTGCGTTGTCCAATTTTAGGTTTTAACTTCTATAAAGTTGCTCTGTCCCATTATAATGGAAAGAGTTGTTAACATTGTCTCTTGGTTGTCAAGATTGATGCTGCATTGCAAGAGGGCGTTGATGCATTGAAACAAGTTTTGTCCAAAGGTTTAACAGAAAGTGCTAGATGCTTCAATACAGAGCAGAAGTACAAACACTTGAGACTGCAGACTATGCCAGTATAAAAAACTGTACACCGAGGTAGTCAGACTGAATACTTGTGCATGCCTGATTCTTACCCATTGTCAAAATAAGTAGCTTATTTTTAATTTCAATTAATAAATATATTGCTTATTTACTTGTAAGCAAACCTTAATAGAATGACTGACATGGACTGATTATATTATGTGCATTGCCGGGGGAAGCTACCCATTTAGGTAGAATACCTGCAGCTTGTCTGGTGTCTGTGACAGAAAGAGCATTGCAAGGAGTGTAATCGGGAGATCGCAATCAAAGGGTCTGGCCATAAAATCTGGAGTTTGTCGACCACTTCCTTCAGCGAAAGAAATCAAATCTATGGTACGAGTGTTTATAGACTTACACAAGGCATCGGGAAGCCTATTGGCCTTATTTCTCCTGTAACATGGTTGTGATTCTCATACTGAACATTACTAGTGCATATAAATCCAAAATGGATTCTTTTATGGTTAAATCTTATTGCTTTTAAAATAGCAGCAACTCCCTTTAGTTTTCTTTTACTTTCGCCATTGTTCTTTTAGCTAAGTTTATGCGATTAAAATGCTGTATTCTTCAAGCTAGATAACAATCTGTAAAAAAATGGTTCTTTTTCAATATGTTTTTCATAACCTTTATCCAGAATTTGACAGTTGTATGAATGAGTAGCTAGTTGAATTCCCTTATTTCGAACATGATCTATATTTTTATTGGTGGGCTTTTCAGTACTTGTTTAATGTTTTAAGTCTTGAGAGTACTGGTGCCATCACAAGACTTTTAACAGATTTTTTACATAAATTCTATCCAATATTGTAGTCTTGGTCCAGTTCTCAGACATTGACTTTTCAAGCGCTTAGCTTCCGCTAGTGGCGGGGCGGCAAGGCCAAGTTGTTCAGTTGGAGGATTAAATCAAGACTAAATTATGACGACGTGTTTAGTATATTGGACAAAATATGCTTACCAGTCATCATATTTTATTCTATCTATCGGATTTAATGTACTGGGCCCCTGTTTGAGTTGATTCTTTAAAATGGAATTTATTTTCAACGCCATATTCTTTCAATAAAATAATTTTGTTCGTAAATTAGATTTTTTTTTTCAAAATTTATTTATGAAAAACAGGCACAAACATGGACTATATATATTGAAGGATTTTTTAGCAATGAATTGGCACAAGGGTGATCACATTCGTCACTACCTGATTTCATTTGGAAGATTTTTTATTTTATTATTCTAAATTATTTCATCAACCTATTTGTTGGAGAAATTTGAAAAGGCGTCTAAACTACACGTGCGAACACAAAACCAGCTAAATAATCTCAATCTTTTGTTTGCAGGGTTGAGCGTGGTTTGGTTTTGGTTGATTTCAAGTCCAACCCGAAATTGAAATCAAAATCAAATTGGTCGATTCGGGCAAATTTCGATTCAGATCAACCCACTTTAACTTTTAAACCAAACAAAGTTAAATTAAATTGGTTTGGTTTAGTTCGGTTCGATTAATCGCTTTCAACTTTTAATCTAAATTGAACTTTTTTTAAAAGAAATTTGTCCAAGTTTTGGGTCCACTTAACCTACTATGGACATGTTTGATTAATTTTTTTCCATTGATATATTTATTTTCTTTTATCTTTCTTTCTCTCTTATTATTTATCTCTATTTTCTATGAAAAAATTTATAATTAAATTTAAATATATTGATTTTTATTTATTTTTAAAAGTATACTATACTAATAATATTGAATCATATATATGTATAATTTTTTGTGTATTTATTTAATTAAAGTCTTAAATTTTTATTTTTTTTAAATGTTTTTATTATATGAAAAGAAGAAGGGGAATGATGGGAAATTGTGGGAACTAGCACCTCATATGTGAGAAATTCACACAATTATACTAGATTTACGTAAATTCTATATTTAATGAAAGTCTTTTGAATTTTACAAAAGCCTATAAAAAATTTAAAATGAAAGTCCATAAAGTCTAAGAAGTAATTCCACTAATTTCATACAAATATATAAAAGATCCACGAAATTCACAAACATCCTCACTTAAAAAAAGTTCATCAAAATCTTCAAAAATCACAATTAAATACATCCCCTTAGATTACAAGAACTAAAATAGCCAAATAACTTTAAATTATAAGAACTATTGACTAACAAATAAAATCGAGTTAAAAGAGATGAAACAACAGAAAATTTAGGAATTTTGCTGTTTTTTTTAGGTATTATATAGTCTGATTGCCTCTCGAATATCTGTTTTTACAGCCATCAATGTTCCCAATCTAATCCTATGAAAACTAAGAATTGAAAGGATTCACAACTACGCAAATCAAGAAAACTGTAAAGTATAACATAATGAGTTTGTGAAAGAAAATTTAAAGTGCTATTACTTACCGACAATATCATAGATTTGAGGGAATCGAGATATAGTTATGAGATTATGACTTATTTTTTGATTTTTATTTTTTTGTAAATTAAAAAAAGGATAAACATGTAAGTGAGTTGGATTGCGAGGGGTTGAAATCGTTCAATTAACCAACGATTTGAGATTTCAAACCATAGCTGAACCTACCCATCGTGGGTTTGTTTGAAAGAAAACCAAATCATTTACTTGTGTCAAAATGATCCTCTGTTTTTCCTTTCTTTCTTTCTTTCATTCTTTTTTTTTTTTTTTGGCACAGACCTATCCGTTTGTGGCAATTTAAATTAAAAGAAAAAATGTTGGTGAAATGTTTCATTTCTCTAGATAATAGAATCGTGTAGAATAAATTAAGGGAAAAATTTATATCTAAGAGCTTAACTATAACGTATTTCAAAACTAAAAAATAAGGTTTAAAATTTCAAAAATCAGATATTCTTAAATTTTATATATGAAATAATTGATTGAAAATATTTGATTAATTAAATATATTAAAGTCACAAATCTATACAATTTGGGCACAAATTATTGAATTAATTGATTACAAATTATTTTTCGATCACAATTAAAAAATTTTATAAGTCACAAATTATTTTTTGGTAACAAATAAAAAATTTAATAGGTCACGAATTATTTTTCAATCACAAATAAAAAAATTTATAACTCACAATTTATTCATCGATCACAAAATCAAAACTTTCTAGCTCACAAATTATCAAGTTAATTTGTTACGTGTAATTTCTCATGACAACTTAATAAATTATCAGTCACGATCATTTTTTTAGGTCACATATTATTTATTAGCTACAAATTAACTAATTTATTGATTACTATCAACCAATTTATTGATCACAAACACCCCATTCCATCCGACCATGACCACCACCAACATTACCACCGCCTTCACTCGACCGTGCAAATCCACCACCATAGCAACCACTACACACCGCCTTCACTGCTAGATCGCAACATTACCAAACGCCAAGCACCAAATCGCGAGTGTCATGCGCATATGTAACCACCACCATCACCTCAAAACCATCTTGTTGACACATAAAAATTCAGCTCAAATCGAACGGCCCAAGGAATGAAGCCCAATTGGAGGATCCCCAAATCAGATAGCCCAAAGAACGAAGCCCAATCAGACAATTCATGATGAAGGCCTAAATAGGGAGGCCCATGAACGCGGTAACACCATCACCCAAGCTTGCAAGTCGCCCAGGATCTGAGCGAATGGAGTGCTATGCAGTCGCCCAGAGCTGCTACTCTATTCTCGCCCAAACCTTCGAGTCGCCCAAGGTCTTAACAAACATGAAATGTTGTAGTTATCAAGAAGCGCAGTTATCAAAGCAGTTATTAAAGCAGCCCTATCACGTTCCACGATTCAAGGAATTCAATTGAAAACGGTTGAACGACAAAGTAATGGCAGCAATTAGAAAAGGCAGTTCCATAACAAGTTGGCCATTACGAGAAAAGTGGACAGTTATAGAACGATCAAACAGTTTTTAGGCGGTTGATCACAAAGAGATCATCCAGGGAGTATAAAAGGAAGAAAAGATATAGAGCAAAAGACCCCGAATCAAAAACTCTCGAACAGAGAACATGTAACTTTAAATTTCTTAGTTTAGATTTAAACACTTCTTTCAGTAACTCGTGTGCTTGCGCCCCTTGAAGACATTCTGTTTTTATTTTCCGACTGTAAAGTCATCGCCAATAAAGAACACCCATTTTTGGGACTTTGTCTCAAGAGGTTTGTCCCTTACACAATCGTCTGATCCCTTTTTAATTGTTAGCGACGAACCCGCGCGAAACAATTTGGCACGCCCAGTGGGACAATGGTGTTTGGTGTTGAAAATACAAAAGGTGAAACAATATGCCTCAGAGATCCGATAAGGAAGTAGCAAGTCAGGGAGGAATCCAATCTGTGATTGAGCGATATGAGGAGCAGCATGCCTCTCCACGAACAGATGGACAGAATCAGAGCAATAACAGTCGTTACGAACCAATAACAGAGTTGAGTCCTCGAACTATGCGTGCACTACTTGGAGAACTCACACAAGATGTCGTTGAACAGGTAAATTTTCGAAGTATTCATAATATGGAAAGATTTACTCAAAATGAGAATGCACATTATAACAACATGGCCAAACAACTAAACACTTTGAACGAACTAATGAATAAGTTAATAGGCCAAATATGTCAACCGGTCATGCCTCTTGCAAACCACTTTCAAACTAGGACAATTGTGAGACATAATCCCTCATCCTAAATCCGAATCAAGGGATAGAACCACTTTCTGGCCCCTCTACTTCAAACCAAGGGGGTGGTGCAGTGCCAAATCAGAACAATGGTAGTGGTACGCCTAACTTCGGGGGTAATCAAAATGTAAGAGATAATGTCCTAAACAATGGACAGAATACCCCACGTGTTAATGAGGGAATAGATGTTCAGGCTAATGGTAATGACCCTAATCATGGTAACTTTGTTGCCAATCAAGGACCAAACATCAGGCCTCATGCAAATCAACCGGTTAACCAACCTGTAGGAATTCCATATAACTCCAACGTCATGTTAAGGAATCATATTATGGAAATCGTACAGGATCAGATGGCTTTTGGTGTGCGTCCTGTCATTAGCCCGACTTACACAAAGCCATATCCTGATTGGGTAGACCAAGCATATCCATGGCCTAGAGGGTATAAAGTGCCAGAATTCTCACTGTTTACTGGTTTAGGAGAGGTGTCTACTCTAGAACACATAGGACGATTCACATTGCAAAGTGGTGTTGTAACTGATTACCATAAAATGAGGCTTTTCCCTAGTTCATTAACAGGAGCAGCTTTCTCTTGGTTCATCAACTTGCCAGCGAACTCTGTTCAAACATGACAACAATTGGAACAATTATTCCACGCTCAATTTTATAGAATTGAGTCTGAAGTCACTTTGGCTGATTTGGCGAATCTACGTCAAATGCCAAACGAATGGGCAGAAAATTTTCTCCAAAGGTTCAAGACAGTAAGAAGCAAGTGTTTTGTACCTTTGCCCGAAAAAGAATTTGTCAAAATCGCTCAGGGCTATTTGAGTTTTGATTTAAAAAAGAAATTTCAAGACAAGGAATTTTCTGACCTTTTCCAGTTGAATGCGAATGTGATTAGGTATGAACAGCTGATAAGAGAAGAAGAGCAGATGAAAAATTCTAGTAAAGGGACTTATTATAAAGACCCAAAT